GACACTTTTGATTGCTTTATTGGGTGTCACTAAAGGTCTAAACTTTTGATGAATTTTTACTTCTTTAAGCCCAATTTTTCATTTTATTCTGACAGACTTTATTAGGTTTTTTCTTTTGGTAAGAACATAACTCACCAGAAGATTTGACTTCTTGTTTACATGGATGTTGACTTTTAGTTGGTTCTTTAATTGTTCTCCCTAATGACTTTTCTTTCATTGGTTAGGCCTCTTTCAATTACATTGACTATGTGGACACTAAAGAGCAAATTGAGTTCCTGAAAGTTAAACTCATGCATTTTGATTTTGTTTAGTCACTGTTTCATCTTTTAGTATTCTTGTCACTGAAACTTATAAACTTGATTTTTAAAGATTCACTGGATTTGTTTTCTGATCTGAAAGACTCTTTCTTTGTTGCTTAGGTATTGTTTTGTGCCCACTTGTATGTCTCGTTGTGACTATAGGCAACTCCGCGGTCATACTGAGTCTTCTACCCGTTCACATCGTTTGGACTTTCTATTCAATCGTGAGGTAACTCACTCCTCAATTCATTTTTGCTATCCCTCTTTACGACGCTGAAGACGCTCTAATCTTGGTTCCTCTCTAACACGCAGTGCCAAACAAGTAGGACCAATCTTGAAGATCTTTCTATGCTTATGTCTTCCTGCTGCCATCATTCTCTGGCCTATTGTTGGTATTTTAGGGAGTGTTTTGGGAGGAGCTTTATATGGTTTTCTCTCCCCAATTTTCGCCACTTTTGATGCTGTTGGTGAAGGCAAGCCTTACCAGTTTTTCCATTGCTTTTATGATGGAACTTGGAGCACCATCCAACGCAGCTTCACCGTTGTCCGGGATTTTAAAGATGTTTGCTTTCACTCATACTTCTCACTCATGGATGAGCTTAAACAAAGCTGCCCGGATCGCAAATATTATGAAATAAGGTATATATATATTATGCTCATTCTTTTACCTCCCTTGTGAAACCGATCATTTGATAGTGTCTTACATCTTCTATCTGTTCTCAGGCTACTTCAACTTCCAGGGGCTTTGGTAGTTTCAGTTCTCGGGGTTCTTGTTGATTTACCGGTGATCTCACTTGTAGCCATATGCAAAAGCCCTTACATGTTGTTCAAAGGATGGCACCGTTTGTTTCACGATCTAATTGGACGGGAAGGTCCATTCTTGGAGACAATGTGTGTCCCCATTGCAGGCCTCGCGATCTTACTCTGGCCTTTGGCTGTCACGGGCGCGGTTATTGGATCAGTTATCTCTAGTATCTTCCTTGGTGCTTATGCAGGAGTAGTCTCATATCAGGAATCATCGTTTTACTATGGACTCTGCTTCATAGTTGCATCTGTGTCCATTTATGACGAGTATAGCACCGATATACTTGACTTGCCTGAAGGATCTTGTTTTCCAAGGCCGAAATATCGAAGAGAGGAAGAGGAACCAACACCTTTTTCTGGTCCTATACCAAGATTAGGCTCTGTCAAGAACGCGTCATCGATGAGAGCAGGATCAGTCAGAGTCCCTATGATTGATATTAAGCCTCTCGATGTAAGCACACGCCTATATCCACTAAACCAATTTGAAAAATCAGTCTTTTGTCGTTTTTGACTTTGATGTCTGTATGCAGCTGTTGAATGAGCTCTTTGTGGAATGTAGAAGATTTGGAGAAATTTTGGCGACAAAAGGACTGATAAATTCGAAAGATATCGAAGAAGCGAGATCTAGTAAAGGCAGCCAAGTGATCAGCGTTGGTTTACCGGCTTATGGACTTCTTCATGAGATTCTGCGCTCCGTCAAAGCCAATTCTTCCGGCTTGTTACTAAGTAAATAATCACTCTTTTTTATAGATTTTCATATAGATTATGACCATAACCACATCCCTACTTGCTTGAATTATCAAGAAACCAACAAAACCGAGCAAAGGACAGATTTTTATATGTCTGCATGTTTGTGTAGGTGACGGTGTAACTGAAATAACTGTCATGAACCGACCAAAAGACGTCTTCTTTGATTGGTTTCTGCATCCGTTTTTGATACTAAAGGAGCAAATGAAAGCTACAAACTTGTCCGAGGAAGAAGAAGAGTACCTCGGAAGATTAGTTTTGCTATTTGGAGATCCAGAGAGGCTAAAGAGCTCGAATGCCATTTCCGCATCTCCTCCTCTCACCGAGCGTAAAAGAGCCGAACTCGATGCCTTTGCTCGCAGGTAAAAACCGCCTTAAAGTTTCGATTATTTTCGAACAATTTAGTTTAGTTTTTTTTTTTCTTGACAAAAAGTTCCATGTCTTTGTGTGTTTTATTAGGATGCAAGGGCTAACGAAAACGGTATCAAGATATCCAACATTTCGTCGACATTTTGTGGCATTAGTGAAGAAACTGTCAGAAGATTTGGACCTAAAAGACAACAATTCGGCTAAGGGCGAATCGATAACAGAACCGCCAGCTCCGGTTAAGATCATTTCGCGGATATTCAGTCAGAGATCGTTCAGAAGAAAAGGAAGTGTTAATGGATCTGATCAAGAATCGCAAAAGGGTGTCTCACGGAATGTAGATATCGTTTAAACATGGGACGTGTGGTGTGGATATTTGAAACTTAAAAAGCCTTTGGTTCTTTGCTCCATAAACTTGTCATTCCTTGTAAAGATTTATCAGACGTTTTTTTGTTTTATTTATAGAACAGTGTATGTTTTCGTTTATGAATCTGTTCATAATTTTTGTTTTTTAAAGTTAATACAACATTAAGTATGATAAGGAAGATTTTGTCAAATCATCTTCATCTTCTTCTTTTGTTGTCCCTCTTTTTCTTAATATAATCATCCCAATATTTAGAGATGATGTTAGCACTTAGCAGAAATATTGGTAAAACTTCCCGTGCTTCTCTTTCATAAGGTGCAAATATCCAATCAAACAAAGCCACGTGTATTACACTTTTCGAGACGAGCACGCGCCTTTGAAATATCCATGGTGTGTTCGCCACGATTAACTTTAAGTCGGTATCCATAACGAACGGTCACAATGATTCAAATCATTACGTGTTCAAAAGATCTACGGCTCTGATACGTAGACGAACCTAAGCCTCACATTTACAAATATAAACACGTAGCTAATCTCCTGTGTCTCTATATATATATATATTTATTTATATTCCCTAAATCGTCAATTTTGGCTAATTTCAAGTTATTAAAAATTAATTATCTTCTGAAAAATATAAATACTTTAATTAATTTTTAGCCATTTTCAGATTTCTCCGAGAGAAAAAAAATGGCGTCTGGTTTGATCGGAAGATTGGTTGGAACGAAACCGTCGAAATTAGCCACGGCGGCGAGGTTAATTCCGGCGAGATGGACCTCTACGGGAGCGGAGGCGGAAACAAAAGCTTCGTCTGGCGGCGGAAGAGGATCGAACTTGAAGACTTTTCAGATCTATCGATGGAATCCAGATAATCCAGGGAAGCCAGAGCTTAAAGATTACCAGGTCGATCTCAAGGATTGTGGTCCAATGGTTTTAGATGCTTTGATTAAGATCAAAAACGAAATGGATCCATCGCTTACCTTCCGTAGATCGTGCCGTGAAGGGATCTGTGGTTCATGTGCTATGAACATTGATGGATGTAATGGACTTGCTTGTTTAACGAAGATTGAAGATGGATCATCGGGGACGACGATTACACCGTTGCCTCATATGTTTGTGATTAAGGATCTTGTGGTTGATATGACTAATTTTTATAATCAGTATAAGAGTATTGAGCCGTGGTTGAAGAGGAAGACACCAGCTTCTGTTCCTGCGAAGGAGATTTTGCAGAGTAAGAAGGATAGAGCTAAGCTTGATGGGATGTATGAGTGTATTCTTTGTGCTTGTTGTAGCACATCTTGTCCTAGTTACTGGTGGAATCCTGAGTCTTACCTTGGTCCAGCTGCTTTGCTACATGCTAATAGGTAAGTGGAACAAAGATAGTGTTGGTGATTGTTTGGAGAATTTGTTTGTTGATTATGGATATAGAAGTTGGATTTTTTTGCGGGAATTGGTTGCAAATTGTAGGACTAGGAAGCTTTAATCTTGGAATCTTCGTATATCTTGTTGTTAGCTGCATTGCATTGGTTCTCATTCAAGTATATTTTTGGCGGGAAGTGCTTGCGTATTGTAGGACTAGAAACCTTCACTCTCAGAATTTGCATTGATGGTTGGAAGATTCTCATTTATTGTTGTTAGCTGCATTGATTTCACTCATGTGGTTTCTTCACTTCTGTTTTATTGTCTGAATTGGTGTTTTGGTTAGGAAGCTAATCTATATCTCGTGCATTTGATAAAGTTTTGATCTTCCGATGTGTTTTTAAACTAGAGACTTGTTCATATGTGCAGGTGGATAAGCGACAGTCGTGATGAGTACACTAAGGAAAGACTTGAAGCTGTTGATGACGAGTTCAAGCTTTACCGTTGCCATACAATCTTGAACTGTGCTCGTGCCTGTCCAAAGGGTTTGAACCCAGGAAAACAGATCGCACACATCAAGCAACTTCAACGTTGAAACAGCTAAGTTTGTGTGAGGTACTCGTTGGGAAAATCATCACTCTTAACGTTTGAAGCTAATAATCTTCACAAAACCTTTGGATTTTCAATTCATTCTTGTTTTGTTGTTGCCAAATATTAGCCCCTTAAAAAACTCTTTTGCAAGTCTTCCCAAGTAGATGAGCTTTGTGGTTGTATCTTGCTGAAAATCTCCTTTTAAGTAATAAAACTTGAGTAAACTTAAACCTCATCTACTTACCATCTACTCTTTTGTGTTCCATGTGCATTGGCTTTATATAAAAACATTTCATGTACTTGTGTCTCTTCCTTGTTTAAGCATGAACACAAGGATCACATCACCAATTTGGTTGTTCAACTTCCTTGATATATGCTTGACTGCATAAGTAAAACTGCACAAGTACTGACACAAACAAGAAAGATGACACCGGCAACACTAGCTATATTCTTTGTCTCTTTGGTCATTATTGGAACAGCAACCGATGTTGCTCCAGCAACCAAACAACCGATTGAGTTCTTTCCGAGTTTGCAGGAGCATGACAAGTCTCTATTTGTTACTGTGGAAGGTACCATAGTTTCGAATACTAGTTCTAGAAAGTAGAAACAAAGATAATTTTTTTTACTGTGGAAGGTACCATTGCTTTTTGTTGTTGTTCTTTATCTACAGGCTGCAACAAACATTGCCTAACAGCTTGCTTTGACTGCAACATAGAGAAACAGCCTCCCGTTTGCGTTCAGTGTTGCCCGATTTGAGCCTTGAACTCCATTTGTTCATGTATGTTTGAAGACTAGAGACAATGTAGAAGATTTAAAACACAAGTCAAGATGTCAAAATTGTGGTTTTATTAGTGAAACAGAGGAAGCTAATGTGTTTTTTTTTTTTATCACCAAAAACAGAAATCAGAAATAGAGAGATATCAGAATCTATGGATTTTAAAAACATACAAATTTTCGCAATCTGTTCATCGAATAAAATTATGAACAGATCCGACGACGTAAGATGAAACACCTCTGTCTCATTCAGAGTCTTTGAATCACTAAGACGGTTACACATCATCATAAGTGGCCCTAATTGACACGTGATCATAAATGTCCCACGTGTAAGTATCCTCGACAACTGAGAGTCTCATTCTGATTGGTTACTTAACATACGACGCGGATCGTAAAGATACAAACAATCATAACCGTTGATAAGCGAAAAGATCTAACGGACCGAATTCTCTCTTCTTTGAGTATAAAAACACATCCCAACCTCACTATCTGTAAATCAATCAAACACAATCTCAACAATCAAAAGTTTCAATTTTTCATTCGAAAGAATTCTCAAAATGGCTCGAACAAAGCAAACAGCTAGAAAATCCACCGGAGGAAAAGCACCAAGGAAGCAACTCGCGACGAAAGCAGCAAGAAAATCAGCTCCAGCCACCGGAGGAGTGAAGAAGCCACACAGATTCCGTCCAGGAACAGTAGCTTTAAGAGAAATAAGAAAGTATCAAAAAAGCACTGAGCTTTTGATCCGTAAGCTTCCTTTCCAGAGATTGGTTCGTGAGATTGCTCAAGATTTCAAGACGGATCTGAGGTTTCAGAGTAGTGCAGTCGCAGCTCTTCAAGAAGCAGCTGAAGCTTATTTGGTTGGTTTGTTTGAAGATACTAATCTTTGTGCTATTCATGCTAAGAGGGTTACGATTATGCCTAAGGATATTCAACTTGCGAGGAGGATTAGAGGTGAGAGGGCTTAAGATATGAAGAAGAGGAAGAAGAAGAAGAAGAAGAAGAAGAAGAATGGTGTAGTTATAGATTAGCTACTTTGGGTTTTTGCTTGTTTGCTTTCATTAGATCTGTAGATTCGATTTTATGTGTTTGTAGACTTTTGTTTAGAAGTGTCTTCCAGATGTTCGATGAAATGCCCAAATGAAAATTTAATCTACTTTCATTTTCGTCTTTTGCTACTTTCTGAGAAGTAATCTTCAGTTTAACTTGGTAAATCCTTATCTGATCACATTTGCAATTAACTAAGTGAACTAATAATCATGAATGAATGATTGATTCCGAACGCTGTTGTGGGAGAATGTTTATTGCCTTGTATACTCATTCTTAAAGAAGTCTCAATCATTTAACATTTTCACTTTATCTATATAAACAACTCATTGATGTTACTAGTTATCCTTCAAGCTACTAAGTATTAAAAGTCACTTGACCCACAAGCTACTCTTTGATGTTACTAGTTATCCAACTAAAAAAAAAAACTCATTGACTTGAGAGTTGAGACATGATATCATCGGAGAAGAGACCACAGAAGCTCCACACACGCGACTCAGCGGATTGTGTCTCTCCCCCACCGCAAGATTCTCTCGTTACCAGGCCGCATCTCTGCGGACAAGTGGCCCGGGGACTTTCCTGGGTCGGAGCTTAGACAAGCCCATGTGACCCATTCACTTCGTCCAATGACAATGGTAACTATAGATATCTAATCTGCAGGAAGTTTATATAGAAACATGATGTTATTCTAAACACCGATGTGGGATATTAAGTGACTTTAAAGTTTGAATAACACCGTATAAACTGATATTTGTTCTTGGTTCTTAGCAGGTGATCAAACTTGGAAGAATTAGACTAATTGTTTGATGGGGTGAGCCAGGCCCGTGCTATAGTGCAACGCATGAGCGACTTGTAAGAACCCAGATAGCAAGCTATCTTAATGGGCTCTTCCCCTTAAAAAATAGAGTTAATATCGTGTGAGCCGATGGCCCACATATCAGATATTAAACTGATAAGAACAGATACTACACTTGATCTTAGCCAAAAGGCCGAGAAAGGTATGAATTGAAAGTTGGGCTTAGACCTCTTTTTATACTTAAGAGAAAGTGAACTATGTTTATGTAGCTAACGATGTGGGACAAAAATAAACAACCTCTTAGCAACTTTAAGCAAACTCTCTTCTTGTGTCAAGTGTCAACACTACTTGTTTTATCGATTCTTCCTCACAATAAGTTTAAGAGACTGAATCATAGAGAATCAAAGTTTTTTAAAAAGGATTTTCAAGATCCTTAGATTATCCTTCAGTGAATATAAAATATAAACTATAATGTCAAAACCTCAAATTCTAATTTCATGTTCTGTTTTTTTTGTTTGTAATTGCAAAATAAAGAAATCATCAATTATTTAAGACCTGCACGTTATCTATAACAACAACTCATTGACTTAACCCACAAACTACTCTTGTTGTTGGATGTTACGTTTTGACTCCATTAAAGCTCTTCTTGGCTTATATATCCTTCAAGCTAACTTCCAAATTCGAAAAATTTCTCTCTTTCTTCTTTCTTTAAAAATCGACGGTTGAGATGAGACGACAAGGTCGGCAACATGGTCTAGTCAGAAGTTACCGGATTCTTCCACCACCGCTTAACACAAGACCGGTCACCTCTTTGACTTCACCTCAAACCTCTGAGTTATTAACCACATTGCCATCGAAACCAACGAAAGCTCAGAGGAAAGTGTGGCCTGGTCAAGTGCATTGGGTGAGATCAAACGATATTGCGTCATCAAGTTACAAACTGCTGACGTGGCGGGTCAAGACAGAACCTGTTTTGAATCTCCCTAGTTTCTTGGATCCTAACAATTGTGAAGACAATGTAGAAGAAGAAGAAGCTGGACTTGAAACGGTGAAGACAGAGCATAATGGAGATATCAGCGAGAAAGAAGATGGTGGGTCTCATGATTATGATGAAAGGATGAGTTTTTACGATGTGGGGATGATGATGATGGAACATGTGTTAGATGACAATGAAGAAGAAGATGGTTGGTGTTTGGTCTAAAAGAAACAACTAATGATGTCTCCTTCACATGGATCAGCTTTTTTCTTTTTCTTTTGTGAATGTTACTTTGATTATTTTACATTATCTTTTGTGTAAAGTGAATAGCTTTATCAATAACAAACCAATTCAAGATTAAGATCAGATCAAATCAAGAAACTGGAGTTGTTGTTCTTCCATTACATAGTAAGACAGATAACAAAGATTTAAAGAGAACAAAACAAAGGAAGCTATTTCCTATTGCACTCGGACTCTTTTCCAAACTGGTGAGAAAAAAGTATAATCGGTGCCAATCTACATAACGATATTGTTGTGTTTTTATCACTAAAGCTTTGATCGAACCATCGAGTTTGTACCTCGAAATCGATCTTTTTATTCTCCCGTTTGCCATTTGCAGACTGTAACGTTTTCAAAGCTGTGTTCTTGCAGCTTCTTTGGCTATCTTATGATTACTCTCTTACAGTCTTTGGCTTCAAACAAAGACACAGAAACTGCTTCTTCTTCTCCGTCTTTCTCTGCGCGAAAAAAAAAGCAACCGAGAAATGAGAAACATCATCTTTTCATGTCACACCAACGAGATTTCAATGGAAAACAAAATCTTACCTTATCCCTGCTCTGATTCTGATCTTGATGTTTAGCATTACTTATGAAACAGCTATTGGTTTAACAAAGAAACAACATATAATCAAAACCAGGAAAAACAAATGCAAGAAAGAAAGAAAACACACAAAGTCTAACTTACCTCAAGAGACCGAATTTCTGACGATGAACCGGTTTCTCTTCTATCTGAGTTATCGGTCTTTCGCTGCATTTGTGTTACATAAACAAAACAATCAGAAAAATTGTTCTCTTCAATCAACATCTACGAATTCACAAACTAGTACCTTCTCTTCTCAGTTAAAGAAATCTCATCCAGAGACTTCGGAGGGATTGTTTTCTCCAAAGACAATCTAAACACCGGTCTATTCTTAGTAATCGATTTCCTCTGTTGTTTCTCCTTTTCACCAACAGACCAATCCTCCTTCAACAACTCTTCCTCTACCTTCTTCTTCTCCTCATCATCATCACCAAACATCACATTCTCCAATTCATCAGTCACATCATGATCATCAATCTGAAAACTGTTTCTTTCACGTCCTTCTTCACCACACTTAATCACCGGAGGAGGAGGAGGAGGAGGCTGAGTTTCCAAAGTATGAAGCAAAACTTCAGCAGGAGTAACAGTTGGTTGTTCTTCCGTTGCAGCTTTCTTAGCTTCAGCTATTCTCTTGTAATGAGCTTCAAAGAAAGCTTTCTTCTGTGCAACAGATCCAGGACGTGAGTATTTCTCTGCTTCTTCAACATACTTCTTATGTGAAAAGCTTGACCATTTTCCCCATTCTAGATTCTCTGTCATAAATTTCCCAAATGAAATTGATTGACTTAACGCATGAATCGTATTTTCCTGCAAAAATCCACACACATAAACAACAAAGCTTTCAGATTCAAATCCAAATTTACAAACTTTCTCAATTAAAAGGATTAAAAAACGAAACTTTATGTTAAATCTAGACGAAGAGAGAAATTTTCCATTAGGAGGAAAAATCCCAAAAGAGAAATAACTTAAAGGTCAAATTTTTCTTTATGGGTATTCATCAAAAACATAGAACAAGCCCAGTTTCCGTCGGATTTTCCCGGAAAATTCGAGAAATCACAAAAATTTTCCGGGAAAATTTTATGGAGGAATCAATAAAATCGTAAGAACAAATAAAAAAAACAAACCTCATGAGAATCGTTACGAGTAATAGGAGCTGCGAAAGAATAAGAATGAACCAGAACTGCAGATTCACCCATTTTCAACCTCAAGATCAAACAAAACAAAATTCTAAAAAAAAAACACAGAAAATGGAAAAAAATCGAAGCTTTTTTTTTTAAATTTCAGCTGGATAATGTTTTTTTCTTCTGTGGAGAGTGTTTTTCTCGTCAACCTAACGTCTCTGGGATTCAAAATTCGAAAGAAGAAGAAGAATAGTTTCTGTGTTGTCGTTGAAAAGAAGTGAGATTTTCTCTCAAGAAGCTAAAACGGGACACATGTATGTGTATGTGGTGGGGAAACATCTCAAAGAATATATTTAGAATCTGGGTCCCACGAACTAGGAGATCAAGAAGATAAAATCAAACACACACAAAATTAATAATAATGAAATAAAATTGACAAATAATTTTTCTGAGGATAGGAATAAAAAAAAACTGCGAAGAAAAATGATTTTTATGATGATGTGGTTCGTTGAAATTGAAGTGGTTGAGAATTGAAGCGAAAGGGAAAAAAAAAATGTTTTGATTTTTTTCTTGTGGGGAAAGAAAAAACTGAGAAATTCTGGAAACTCGGTCTTCGAAACCGATTTCTGAGTTTTTTTTTAGGTTTTTAAATATCTTTTTTTTTTTTGAGTTATGAAACGTTTATTTTAAGCTATTTTTGGAATGTTATTTAATTTTTTTTTTTTGATCAAAGGGAATGTTATTTAATTAAAAAGAAAAATCAATGGGATAATTACTTTGTCTTTGAGAAATTAGGGAAGAAAATTAAATTTAATCCAGAATTTCTTAATTGTAAATGAAAACGTTACTTATGTTTATGTGTATGTTTGTAATGAGGACATGTTGTTACTAGAATGTCATTAAGACAATATATACCTTTACAGAATTTTTTGGATTCATTTTCGTCAGCCAAATTTTATTTTATTTAGGTTATTTGAAGATGTTACGAAAATAGATTTTATTCCATGTATATTGTGAGGAATTTTGGGGTTTTCAAATATATATACACCAATAAACAACACCAAAGTGTTCTCTCAAGTGTGGAAAAAATAATGCGAAAAAAAGAACACATTAAATATCGGATTAGAATAATAAAGTTTATCAAACGTAATGAAAATGGACAGATTTGATTACATGATTCTAGAAAAAAAATTACAGCATCATGTTTTGTTTTGTTATTTGTATCGTCCAAAACGTCTGGATTTTATATTTACCAAATTGTTGAAACTTGAAGATATAAGAGCTTATCACAAATACTTTACATATCTGTATAAAATACATTTTCATACAATTTTTAATGGAAAAAATGTCAGAAAACAATTGTCCGATTTTGTTAAAATTTTTGTTGATTTCTCATCACGTCGTTAAATCGTCGACGAAAATTAACGGTTTCGTCAAGACATGTAATAACGAAACTAATATGGTGCCGTCAACAAAAGCTGGTAATTAAAGTGTAAAATGCAAAATTAATTAAAGTTGAAGATTTTTACAATCAGAAAGTTGATGCTTTTTTCAACCATTTTTGAAAGTGGAGATTTTTTGATATTTTTATTGAAATAAAATTTATTGTTCAAAATTTATTTAAAAGAATGAATCAAGAATTAGAAAAAAGTTGGCAATTATATTTATTCGATTATGTATAGTATAGAGAAGAAATATAGTTATAAATCATCTTATCTATAACACAAAAATGTATTTTTAAGATCGTAAACAATTGTCAAACTATTATATAATAACATTAATTTTGTATTAGTGCAAACAATAGGATATTTGTATCTATACAAATTGAAATTAGGACAATTTGATGGTTCTTTTTTTTTTTCGACAAATTTTTGATGTTTCTTTAGTTTTCTTGATATTTGGTATTAAAATGCTTTGGGCAAAACGATTTAAAATGGTTGTTTCCAAGAAGATATTTTTTGTCAACGATTTTGTATCTCATCGAGGAAAGATCAAGAATTCACAATTAGTACTAGTAATTCCATTTTGTATTGGAAAGATAAATAAAATAGCTAATTAACCTTAAGTTTAAAACATCGTAATTAAGCAAACAATACTGCATTTTCAGGAAACAAATTTATTTGTAAAAAATTTGTTATGATTATCAAAATTTGTTCTAAATCAATGTATACTTTTAACACTATAAAAATTCGTTGGTGAGTTTGGTGGTAATAAGTAGATGAAGTAAGAGGTATCAATGTTGGTGTGTATTTTATAACACACAAAACAAAACAGATTTAAATTGCAAGTAATCTGTCTCTTTGTAGTTAGTAGTACCATACATAACAATCCAACCATCAAAGAAAGCTACACTATTTCTTCCGAGTTACTACTATATACTTATAAAAAGCTAAAAGAAACACAAAAGAAAGATATGCGTTGACAAAAATTTGTTATTTATATGCAAGAAGTATTTATTATTTTAAGGTTATGTGTAGAAAATGTCTGATAGCTCAAATATTATAATTTACACACGAAAACGATTTGATGACATTGAAACTTTCGAAATCGAAAGCAAAAAATATAGTATTACATAGCTTTTGATGTACACTATTAAAATAAAAATTACTTAGATATTTGTTTGTTTTTCTTTGAATATATGAAATTAAGGAGACTTCAAGATTTAAAAAGGTCATTTAATTTGTTATTTTTAGTTTATTAGTTTTGCAAAATATTCGTGGTTTCATAACCACGCCTAATGAGAGTAGATTTTACGGTCCGAATGTATCTCACGTGCAAACATGTGATGTGATGCGAAAACTCCATTCGTTACATATTTTCATTTAATTTGTCCAATGTTGCTATATATTTTTCCACTATTTCTTCCACTAGAAATTGAGAATACATTGGTTATTGCTATAAAAATAAACGACGGCCTATTTAACTCAATAAGCTTCGAATTTTGAATTTGAAACCCAACAAAACTAGGAAAATGACTACACTCGTAACCTCCTCCTTGGAGCAATTCACCGAAGGCTCTTATGCGTCATTCGCGCGAGCTAATTATGATTACAAGCTGATCCGGGATGTCTCGAAGCTAGGCTTGAAGTGTGAATCCCTACAGGTTTCAAAAGATCTTCCAGTTTCTCCAAGCTTCTTGAAGTCATGCATCTTGGAAAACTCTTTAAACTTTTATCTGTATTTTTCATGTAATGTCTTAAGCTTTATTTGTATGAACTTACCTCTTATGAGGATTTAGATGAATGTCTATGTAAGCTTCCCTTTGTTCAAAAAAAAAAAAAAAACCCAACAAAACAAATTTTGTATGTTCAAATATAGCAGCATACTGTATGTATGTATAACTTTACTATTACGTTTTTCAAATATTTTTTTTAATGAAAATTGTACAAACAAAAATTTATTTTGATCACATTTGGGTTCATAAGAGTTTACAAAATAATTTTGATGATACTAGTTATAGTATTTTCTTTACTAATGTAAGTTTTGATTAATATGCTGTTCCCTAAAGACAACTTATAGAGCATTCAACACTAATATCAACAACAATAGTAACTGAATAAATAAAGGGTTGACTGATTTTTCAGCCCTTAACTATTCGCAAACTCAAGGTTTCCCCCTATACTTTTTTGCTCTTAAAAAACCACCAACAACTATCAATTTTCTTAAACAAACACCACGTACTTTCGGATTCAGCTTGAAAAATACGCCTCCAATTGAACCGGCCATTAAACCGGGTTTAACCACAAATCCGCGTTTACTGTACCGCGATTAGGATTATCCATATGATTACCCATGATCCGTTAAGAAAACGACGTCGTTTCACTCTTCTCTCAATTTCCCAAAACAAAGCCAAACGACGTCGTTTTCTTAACGGTACTCCGGCGTAGAGAGACACGCCTCTGAGACGATGTCCGTCACCGAGAATTGCATCCGCCGGGAAATTCCGATCGATTGTACTAGCACCAACGGTGGTTACCCACGGTGCGAGGTTTGTAACTGACATACCGTTAGGTCCTTCGTTTCCGGCGGAAGAAGAAACGGAGATTCCTTTCGACGCGGCACCGTATGAGCCTATAGCGATTGGATCGAGGTAATACGGAGAAGTAATCCCGTCACCACCACCGATTGAGATCGATATAACGTCGACGCCGTCTCTACTAGCCGCATCAAAAGCGGCGAGGATATCGGAATCGAGACAACCGGATTCTTTCCAACAGACTTTGTAGGTGGCGATACGTGCTTTAGGAGCAACACCTTTGGCTACACCGGAGGCGTAACCGGACATACTCGCTTTGAAAGCATGACGGCCGGTTGAGGAAGTGTGAGTACCGTGTCCATCGGCGTCACGAGGAGATAGAAACTCAACGGTTTTGTTGATTCCTCCGATTACGGCGTCTTGTTGCCCTTTAGCGAAGAATCTTGCTCCGACGATTTTTCGGTTACAGTTCCGAGGACCAAATCTTGCTCCGGATTCGCAAACACCTCTCCACCGTTTTGGAATTGGACCGAGGTTGAGATATGAAAAACTCCTCTCTGGCCAGATTCCGGTATCGAATACGCCAATGATTACGTCTGATCCGTAATTAGATTGAGAGAAGAGTGAAACGACGTCGTTTGGCTTTGTTTTGGGAAATTGAGAGAAGAGTGAAACGACGTCGTTTTCTTAACGGGTCATGGGTAATCATACGGGTAATCCTAATCGCGGTACAGTAAACGCGGATTTGTGGTTAAACCCGGTTTAATGGCCGGTTCAATTGGAGGCGTATTTTTCAAGCTGAATCCGAAAGTACGTGGTGTTTGTTTAAGAAAATTGATAGTTGTTGGTGGTTTTTTAAGAGCAAAAAAGTTTAGGGGGAATCTTTGAGTTTGCTAATAGTTAAGGGCTGAAAAATCAGCCAACCCATAAATAAAGGCAAACAACAACATCAAAAAGCAATAGGGAAATTGTTAAAAATACGGTGTGCCCCTTTTCAAAAATGCCCCTTTTAGATGTCCATTTTTAAAAATGACATTTTTTAAATCTGAAATTTTTATAAAGTTTTATTAGGTTTATAAGGTACTTATGGATTATAACTACTACTTGAAGACTCGATCCAAGTATTTATAAGGTTTTATAAGGTGTTTTTAAAGGTTTTACAAGTTATTTTAAAGGATTTTTAAGGTTTTTCAAAGGTTTTACAAGATATTTTAAAGGTTTTTAAAGGTATTTAAAATGCATTTATAAGGTATTTATAAAGTATTTATAAGATTTTAGATACATAGAAATGTAGTTTGTGTATGTTTTAATAATATTACATACATATTTGGGTAAATCTTATATTTTTAAGAGCATTTTTTATAAGGTTTTAAAAAAGGGGTATTTTTGAAAAGTGGCATTGAAAAAGTGGCATTTTTGCAAAAGCCCCAAAGCAATAACCGTAACTTCGAAACAAGACTAGAAGATTCTCTGCACAAGAAGAATCTATCAAACACTGTGAACAAAGTAAACATTTTGATCATCAGAATCATCTGTTTCTTGAAGCAGGAGGTTCACGGCTGAGATTATGCTTTTGAAGAGTCTTGATATAGCTTCTCATCAGACCAAACTTATTACTCCCAAGCTCATAGAAATAATCCCATGGATATATCCCTGTTCTATGCAAGTCATCAAACACTAACCTGAATCCTCAAAAAAGATTTAGCCCCCAACCGCATTAAGTTATAAGTGAAATGAAATCTTTGTAAATGGCTAACTAATAATGACCTTGCGGGATTTGCAAGTACCTTACCCCGTAGTTTCCAACCGGTTCTGCAGACATGATTCCTACATACCGCCTTCCAGATATCACCTGATTGAGTAAACATGTTATTTAGGCCAAAGATAAACACATCAAGACTCAATGCAAAGAGTAAATAGTAAAAACTTAAAGAATGCAACTTTTTTCCGAAACAGTCTAGAATCTAAATACTGAATAGTCATGTAATTTATGGACTAGTACCATAAGACAAAAGAACAATAGTAAGACTCATTACTAAGATACTTAAGAGATTGCATCTTCAACCAAATCCTTACAGAAAAGTAATAGCCAAACGCAATGTCTCAAAGAAACAACACCACGACTCATTGCTAAACCATGTCTCCATCCAGTGTAACTATATCATTGACGTGGTTATACTTATACTTAAAAAGATTGCATCTTTGTTAAAACCCACCAAGGATCTACAAATGATCAGCCACTAGAACAGCAAACTAGTAGTCATAAGGTAGAGAAACAGCAGCATCATATATAGTTAACCGTAGCTTCATTTACATAATTCTCGTCTTAAGTTTCAACTTTCAAGTATCTGTTGTGACAAGAACAACAAACTAGTTCTCAATAATTTCACAGAGAGTTAAGCAAAATCCAAAGAGCCGCCAAACTAGAACCAAGCATAAGTTAGAGTAAGAACAACAAGCTAGTGGCCATAATTTTTAGCTGGACCAAAAACAACAAGCCAAAATAAACAAAAGCAGCATCCAATGCTTAATCTAGTCTCATAGCTACCTATCACATTATTGAAATTAGACTGCCTAAAGATGAGCTAAGACAAGATATCAAAACTCTATAACCTCACAAAACAATTATTGACTAAATTACCCTTTCACCACCGATTGATCTGACTTTTCCATCAGCAGCTGGACTATGAATCCTCAAAAACTCTGATGAAAAATTGAACTTTGTTCCATCTGAATACTCTACCTCAACCTTCAAAACAATATTCAACAAATCAGATTCAATTTCCAAAAATTTCTGATCGCCATGGAACATAAGAAGAAACAACGAAGCTTTACGTGTTTGGGAGATACAATAGAGAATCCGGCGAGTTTGGAAACAGTAACATCACTTTTTCCATGGATTCGCCGGCTTATCACTCTCGTAATCGCCCACATTTCTTTTTCCGACGATCGCCGGAGACGATGACTTTTAGGCTTCTAGCTCTAAAGTCTAAACGTAGTTTATTGGGCCTAATTCAAAAGCCATTGGGTTTGGTTATATTTATTTTCTACTAAAATTTAAAAACGGCGTCCGACTTCTGCAACTAGTAGTTATTAACTACTGGTCTAACTTTAGTCAAAGGTAAAGCAAAATCACGCCTCAAACGGAAAATCAAAGACAAAAAATAATTAAGACTACCTAATAAATTCATAAAAGCTGTGAAGAAATTACAACATGAAAAAATAACACGCAAAGTATCCGATTTTTTTTTTTTTTTTTTTTTTTGTGACATAACTACATAATTTTTTTTTTCATTTTTTGTATTAAACTACTATTCAACGTCAAAGAAAGTGAAGTAAACGAAAACCGTCAACAAAAGTAAATTCGTACCTTAAAAAAGCAAATAAATATGTGATTGGAGACCAATAGTTGTTTTATTAGTGAGCCGTCTTTTTTTCTCCTTCTCCAAGTTCGTAAATCGTAACTTTTTTTTTTTTTTTTCATATTCTTCATAGGTCAGGTCGTCAGGAATAACAAAAAAAAGTAAAATTCCTTATTATTTTACTTTTTTTCTTCTTCTTAATTGAGAAACAACAAAAAGAAGGAATTACGTAATTCAAAACTCTTATCATCATCCAAACAGAAACTTTGACTGGAAAAGAATTAGAGAAGTTGAAAAAGAAAAATCTTTACTTTTTCTTTTGTTGTTACTGAAACTAAAATTGGAACAGAGTTTCTTTCTCTAATTCATCGACGGCCAACGCCGGCGATTTCGGCGGCGTAGGAGATGAAAGTTCGTAGAAAACTTAGTGGTGGTTGCGGCGGAGACGTCGTTGTTTCATGGCGGACTTTCTTTTGGTTCGTGATTCTGTTTGTCTTCTCCTTCGTTCTCTTCTCCACCATGTTTATCTTTAAAGGTAAATTTTAGACCCGAACCGTTATTTTTTCTTTCTTATTATCATCAGAAACTGAAATTAGATTTTAGCAGGGAAGTTTCGTCCGGTGGTTCGTTCGACGATAAGCTTCTCAACGGCTGTTACGGCGAGGGCGGTTCTCGGCGAGTCTATATCGTCTTCTCCGGCGGTTACGATTCGTGAAGCGGTGAAATTACCTGAACAAACACTGGTTTTCCTAAAATACCCTCAGTCTCTTCGGTTATTTACAAAAAACGATCTCATTTGCGTTTTCTCCGGTTCGTCGAAGCTACGGAAAGTATATCCGACGGCTGTGGACAGAGACAAATTCGGAGGTCAGATCGTACGGTGTCCTGAAACGCCACGTGGCTACACCATATCGCTTGCTGTTTCGAGATGGACGACGGATGATCATCTCCCGGCTGGGCCAACTCACCGGTGGGATTGGCTGGTTTACGACGCCGTGATCGACTACGATAACTCTACGGTGGTTTTTGTCAAGGGTCTTAATCTACGGCCAGGAAGAGTTGCTGACGTGTCGAGATATGAGTGCGTGTACGGCTGGGATTTCGCGAAACATAATCGGTTAATTAGATCAGATGTTATCTCAGCGGCTCAGGAGATTGTACGGTGTAGAACACCGTTAGCTGTGTTAGACGGCCCAAAATCGGCCCGTGGGCCTGTCAAAGTCTCGGTTAGAATTAAAGGAGGAACCGGTATGCTTCCTTCTATCGCTCAACCGGTTCGGATCATTAACCCGCCGCGAAAGAAACCGTTTCAAATGTGCGTTTGCACTATGACGCGAAACGCTGCCGCGGTTTTGAGAGAGTGGGTGATGTACCACGCCGGAATCGGCGTTCAACGGTGGTTCATATACGATAACAACAGCGATGACGACATAATCGCCGAGATCGAGAATCTCGAAAGACGCGGTTACAACATCTCGAGACATTTCTGGCCGTGGATTAAAACTCAGGAAGCTGGATTCTCCAATTGTGCGATCCGTGCAAAGAGCGATTGCGATTGGATCGCGTTTATTGACGTCGACGAGTTCTTCTACATCCCCTCCGGTGAATCCCTAACTTCCGTCATCAAAAATTACACTAGCTCCGATTCGATTGGTGAAATTCGAACGCCGTGCCATAGTTTTGGACCGTCGGGTTTGAGATCTCGGCCACGGGATGGAGTCACGGCGGGATACACTTGCCGTGTGGTGTTACCGGAGAGACACAAGAGCATAATCCGGCCGGAAGCGATGAACGCGACGCTGATAAACGTCGTTCACCATTTTCACCTCAGAGATGGGTTCACGTTTGCTGACATGGATAAGGATATAATGGTAATTAACCATTACAAATATCAAGTCTGGGAAGTTTTCAAGGAGAAGTTTTATCGGAGAGTCGCGACTTATGTAGCGGATTGGCAAAACGAAGAGAATGTCGGGTCGAGAGATCGGGCACCCGGTTTAGGAACCCGACCCGTTGAACCATCTGATTGGGCTGAGAGATTCTGTGAGGTGAATGATACGGGGCTTAGAGATCAGGTGTTCGAGAAGTTCAAAGACAATAAAACGCAGCGTTTAATGTGGGAAAAAGCGGTAGACGACAATGTTAGATTTAAAAAGGGCTCTTTGGCCCATTATAGAATAGCTCGAAAGATTAAAAAACAGATTAATAAAGCCCATTAGCCATAATTTTGCTTCTTTTTTTTTTGAATTCTACAGTGGAATTTCTTCCGGACGTGTCGGAATTTATTCTGTAATTTTGGTAGAAGTGGAGTCAATAAGGAAGATTAAATATTTGACAACAGAAAAAGGAAAACTATAACTAAAAATTCCAAAACTCTCAACAGGCCCAACAAAGGCCCAGTTACAAATTAGCCGTTTCGAGGAAATCAAGATTTTTTAAAAGATAATCCGACCGTTGGGAAAAATATTATCTTTCCCATTTTCTTTGTCTCTCTTTTCGGGAGCGTTCTCTGAAATCTCTCAAACCCTAGATCCAGAGAATGGTGAGTGAAACACCATCAAGAGTTACTAGTCGATCCAGAGATGGATCAAATGGATCGAAGGAAGTATCGATCGCGAGAGAGAAGAATGGTGAAAACGCAGAGATTTTCATCAGTCCGAGATTCAAATCTGCGGCGGCTATGGCGGGTTGGGATGAAGAAGATCTGATAATCGCTAGCTTTGTGGTTGAAGATACTCCTGAAAGAAGTTCTTCAAAGCGAAGGAGACGTTCCAATTTGTTGTTTAAATCAACTCCACCTTCAGGTTCTTCAAGAAGGTTCGTTGAATTTGTGAAATCTGGGAAATGGGTTTGTTGAAATTCGTTGAATTTTGAATCTTTTTTGGATTCCAGGAAGCAGAGTGTTAAACAAAGTCTTGTTGCGTTACCTGTTATTGATCTTGATGAAGTAATCAGACATGAAGGTATTTTTCGTTATTAATTGGGTTTAGGATTTATGAAATTAGATTAGTTTCGTTGAAGTTTTTGAATCTGTTGTGGTTGTAGAAGAGAAATCTGCAGAGAAGAAGAAAAAGAAGAGAGAGATGGAAACAGAAACACAAGACGAGAAGAAGAAAATAGATAAAGATGAGAAGAACTTGTCAGAGCAGAACCCAATTCCTGTTGTGCTTCCTTGCATAGATAAGCTTCGAGACGAATTGTCTTGCGCGGTATGTATCTGAATCTTGAGGCTGAGACTGTTCTGTTTTTTTCGCAATTCATTGATTCAGGGTTCTTGAACTTGAAATTTTTGCTTGCAGATTTGTCTTGAGATTTGCTTTGAACCCAGTACTACAACCTGTGGACACAGGTAGATTAACTACAACAACAGAGTTATCTTTGTATGGTGAATTTGGTACTGAATTGTTCAATTTTGGGTTTCTTCTGTAGCTTCTGCAAAAAGTGTTTGCGATCTGCGGCGGATAAGTGTGGAAGGAAATGCCCTAAATGCAGGCAACTAATAGGGTAAAGAGCATACAACTTTGATGAGTTTTGGATCAAAAGCTTCGAGATTTATCTAACTGTGTTATTTATCTATGCAGAAATGGAAGATATTGTACGGTTAATACGGTTCTTTGGAACACAATCCAGCTTTTGTTCCCTAAAGAAGTCGAAGCACAGAGAGCTGCTGCTGCTATCTTGAAAGGCAAGGAAACGCCGAGTCCTAGAAATCCTAATCAAAGGCTAAGAAGCAGAAACAGAGAAACTGCCTTGTTTCAAGAAAGGTTACAAAGAGAGGATATTTCGAGATTGCTTGTATCCGAAGAGAGAAGCGAGAGGAGCGAGAGAAGGAGGAGAAGCGCGAGTATGAGGTTGGATCAAGATAGGGATGCTGCATTAGCATTGCGGTTACAGCGGCAAGAGTTCGCATCAGCGTTTGGCGCAACGACGGCTGAAACTTCTTCTTCATCGGTTTCTACTCTGTCGCTAGCAAGAGCTAACCTGAGAGCTATGGCGTCAAGAGCTGTTCGCAGGCAAGGATGATATGTGCTCATCATCTTGAATGACATTCATCATCATCTTTAGCCTGAATCTGCCTCGGATCAAGGCAATTTACACATTGTACAACTACATTATTATTCAGTTCCTTATTCGTGACATTTCCTTAGAAATCCATAGTCTGATCATGAAGATTTTAGATTGTAATCGATCGTTAACATGGAACATTTGTTGGTAATGATGACAGAGATGAGAATGTGAGAGATTGAAAATCGGAAGACAAACTAAATTAGGTTAACTTGTGTTTTTATAATAACTTGCGTGTCAAAATTAGGTTAAAAAGTGATTAAGTCCCACATCGGTAATTATCAAAGATACATTCCATACAATCTAATATAAAACGTACAACTGATTCTGTATGGTGGTTCTTCTTGTTGTGATGGGTCTGGTAAGATCAAATGATTAAAGATACATTCCATAGATAGAAGTTCTATTAGCCCAAGCTTCATTACCAATTGACAATTTTTATTTTTTACTTTGATAAATGATAATACTTGAGATCAATATAATAATTTATCAATATATAATATTTTTTTTACTTTTAAATCATAATACAACTTGAGAAGATTTTTTTCTTATACATATATAATTTTCTTTTGTTTTTAAATCATAAGAAAACTCTTCTTTTTTATTCTTAGGTAGCTTGTTAACAATTTTAATATATCCAATCATACTCTTTATGCATCCAAACCGCGTTATAAACATACTCGCCAGCTTCTTTCTTTAAATAGATCCCATTTTCTCTTGCTCTCCAATCCCATAGGCCTCCTTGATCTGCCATAGCGAAAAGCTTGAATGCTGTAAAGTTCTGATAGTGCCTATAGTTAGGACCTTGTCTCAAAGTACACATAAAACGCGTTGTATGCCAAAAGTTTATATCGAAAAGATTTTCATAATGTTGTCCGATTGGTATTATGTTTGGACCTAATACGTCATCTTTGGAATAACACCTCATCCAGAGACGTTTCTTGTTTTTGAGTTCGTTCGAGATCCTAAATCCGCCGCCGGATACATGGTCTAGCATGCAAATGCTAAAAACAAATAGAAAGACTAATAATTTATTCATTTTTTTTTCTTACGTTTTGGTAGATGTTTAGATCTTTGGTTTTATAGATTTGGTTTCTGTTTTTCTGGTATTCTATATATACACATACATCTGAATTACTATTGTTGGCACAAGATTTCCTTCACTATTAGTATTTAGTTATAACATATACTAGATTGTAACTAAAACGTTTAAATTTTAAGATGTAGTATTTTTTTTGTAATATTGTTTGTTTTCAGTGTTTAAGAATATATAATTGTATTATTATTGTTAATTCTAAGATTTTGCCTGTAGTATACCGTCCCATATTAATACCGATTCAAACCCGTCTCACCATATAACCCCATCCGGTGAAATTAAACATCAATTTTTTTTTAATAATTCGTTTATTTAAATGACATAATTCGAATCAATTTAAAAGTTTGCTTTTAAATGGTTCACTACTTCCCATAATATATATAGAGAATATTTCAAGTTATAGTTGTTTTGTTAATATTGTTTGTTTTGTTTAAAGTTTAAGATTGTATAATTGTATTTTGATTGTTAATTTAGGATTTCACCCATGGTATACCGTCCCGTATTAATATCGACACAAACTCATTCCACTATATAACTCCGTCCCATGAAATTAAACATCATTTAGTTATTTTTCTTATTATTATAATACTTTTGTTTAAAAGACATATAATTCGAGTCAATTTAAATGTTTGCTTTTATATGGTTTTCATAATATATATATATATATATATAATTTATATAGAGTTTCAATATTATTAATATTATAAACTTTTATATAATTTTAATATTATAAATACTAGGTTATGAACCCCCGCGATATCGCGGGGAACTCATTTTCAATAAATATATTTGATTGTGTTTATGTATTAAATTATTATGATGATATATTCAAATATATGTATAATTAACTATGTTTTAAAGTTATATCGTAAACATTTTCCAAAATGTTAAAACAATTTACGAAAAAAATATAAAAAGAAGAATTATGATTAAAAACACTTTTGGAACATTTTTTAGAATATAAAATTATTTATAAGTGACAAAATACCTAACGAAGAGTTATAATATAGAGATGAGAAATTCTAGCGGGTCAAAACTCAAAAATTTGGATGGAGTCGGTACTTAGAATGACTTGTGGGTGACAAAAAACTTCGCTCGAGAATTGGTGTTTTTTTGTTTGTCCACTGTTTTTTAAAATTAAAATTAAAATTTATTTTATTATATATATTCGAAAAAATATAAAATTTGATGACGTAAATTATATCTATAATAAAAAATAAATATTTACAAGATCTCATAAATTTATATTTATATTGATAAATTAACTGAGTAAAAAAACTTCTTCCTTAAATATTCATGTGACGAATTGGAATCATTGTTCATTTGACTCTTACCACATTTAAAACACCCAATCACAAGCGTCACATGAGGATGTCTTCTCATATTCGGACTTTGTAATAATGTTAACGCAACATCAATATTGCCTTGTATACAACCCATATATATTACCTTAAGATATAAACCATCATTGTTACCATATAAAATAGTTAAATAAAAAAATTCACTATATAATCTGTCCAATTCTAAGAAAAAAATTGTTGGTACCTTTATTAGAATTTTATATGTAAAGTTGATTAAAAATTCTCCATTTTTATAATCATTCCAAAAAACTTTGCTTAGATCAAGAATAAGAAGAATTATTTAATATTAAAATAATATATGTTTAGAAATAGCTTAGAGAATAAAGAATTTGGACCCATTTTATACATTATTTTTTTTGGATTTATCATGAAACAAATAATCTAAGGTTAAAGAACAAAAATTTTAGAAATACTTAGAAAGAAGGACAAATATATAGAGTTCAAAAGTCATGAACATTTAATAGACAACTATTCATCCAAAAAGTTGTGAAGGAAAAATGTAATGAAATATAGTGAAGAGACGTATTTAGATGAATAGATGCAACTATAAAGATACAAAGGTAAACTGAAAAATACAACTATAATTGAACAAATAGAACTGTCCCAAAATATAACTGTCAATATTTTAATGAAAAGATGCGAGAAAAAAACACAATTTAGAAAAAATAACCGTCAATATTTAAATGGAAAGTAGTGATAAAAAGATACAAACGAAAAAAGTAACCGTGAATATTTTAACAGAAAGTTGTGATAAAAAGACACAACCAAAAAAATAACCGTCAACAAAAGAAGTAACCGTTAATATTTTAACGAAAAGTTGCAATAAAAAGACACAGCCGGGAAAAAATAACCATCAATATTTTAAAGAAAAGTTGCGATAAAAAGACAAAACAAAAAATAGTAACCGTCAATATTTTAACGAAAAGTTACGATAAAAGACACAACCGAAAAATACCGTCAACGAAAAAAGTAACCGTCAATATTTTAATGAAGAGTTGCGATAAGAAGACTCAAACGAAAAACAGTAACCGTCAACTTTTTAACAGGAAGTTGCGAATTGCGATAAAAAGACACAACCGAGAAAAAATAACCGTCAATATTTAAACAAAAAATTGCGATAAAAAGACACAACCGAAAAAAATATGTCAATATTTTAAAGGAGAATTGCGATAAAAAAGACACAAATATAAACAGTAACCGTCAATATTTTATCGTAAAGTTACGATAAAAAGACACAACCAAAAATAACCGTCAATATTTTAAAGAAAACTTACGATAACAAAACACAACCGAAAAAATAACCGTCAATACTTTAACGGAAAGTTGCGAAAAAAGATACAAACGAAAAAGTAACTGTCAATATTTTAACGCAAAGTTACGATAAAAATACACAACCGAAAAAATATCCGTCAACGAAAAAGTAACCGTCAATATTTCAACGAAAAGTTACAATAAAAAACACAACCGAAAAAAATGACCATCAATATTTTAACAAAGAGTTGCGATAAAAAGACACAACCGAGAAAAAATTACTGTCAAAATATTTTAACGAAGAGTTGAGATAAAAAACACACAAAAAAAATAACCGTCAATATTTTAACGGAAAGTTGCAATAAAAAGACATAAACGAAAAAAATAACCGTTGATATTTTTACGGAAAATTGCTATAAAAAGACACAAACAAAAAAGTAACCATAAATATTTTAGCGGAAAGTTACGATAAAAGATACAACCGAAAAATTATCCGTCAACGAAAAAAGTAACCGTCAATATTTTAACGAAAAAGTTGTAATAAAAAGACACAACTGAAAAAAATAACCGTCATAATTTTAACGAAGAGTTGCGATAAAAAAACACAAACGCAAAAAATAACCGCCAACTTTTATCGGAAAGTTGCGATAAAAACATATAACCGAAAAATCGTTAACAAAAAAGTAACCGTCAATATTTTAACGAAAAGTTGCAATAAAAATACACAACTGAAATAACCGTAAAAAATAACCGATTTATACGAAAAGTTGCGATAAAAAAACGCAACCGTTCAGATGTGCAAATGATATTTATTAGATTGCTATTATATATAGATTTTAAACGTTTTATAAAGAGTGATTAAGTCCCACACCTGGTAATTATCAAAGATACAATCTAATATAAAATGTACAACTGATTCTGTATGGTTGTCGTCAATTGGTGGCGCAACGACGGCTGAAACTTCTTCTTCATCGGTTTCTACTCCTTTTTGCTAGCAAGAGCTAACCTGCGAGCTATGGCGTCAAGAGCTATTCGCAGGCAAGGATGATATGAGATCATCATCTTTAGCCTGAATCTGCCTCGGATCTAGGCAACACATTGTATAACTACATTATTATTCAGTTCGTAATTCCTGAAATTTCTATAATCACCTAAGAAATCTATAGTCTGCTTTAACAGTATTAAGTTTGGAATTCGATCTTAGACGATCTCGCAAGTATTTATGTACTTTCCATAGTTCACTCGATAATAAGGAGATTTGCAGACAAGGTTATGAACATGGTAAACAAATTTCTTGAGATCAAATCTTCAAAACGTAGAAAGCTTGATCATGATGATTGTAATCGATCATTAACATGGAACATTTGTTGATGATAGAGACGAGAATGTGAGAGTTTGAAAATCGGAAGACAAACTATATTAGGTTAGGTTCACATAAAACCAAAAAAAAAAAAAAAACTATATTAGGTTAACTGTGTTTTTGTAATAACTTGTTTGACAAAAATAGGTTAAAGAGTTACTAAGTCTCACATCATTAGGTTTCAAAGATACAATCTAGTATAAAAGGTACAACTGATTCTGTATGATTGTCGTCAACTGATTCTAATATGCCGTTGGTTCTTCTTATGGTGATGGGTCTTGTAAGATCGAATGATTAAATATACACGCCATAGATAGAAGCATCAGCCCAAAGCTCATCACCAATTGACAATTTTTATGTTTTACTTTGATAAATGATAATACTTGAGAACAATATACTAATTTATTAATATATATATATATTATATATATATATGTATTTTACTTTCACATCATAATGTAACTTGAGAAGATTTTTTTCTTATACACATCTAATGTTCTTTTGTTTTTAAATCATAAGAAAACTTTATTATTATTATTAATTCATAGATAGCTTGTTAACAATTTTAATATATCCAATCATAGATTTTGTGCATATAAACCGGATTTTTAATATGCCGGCCACCTTCTTTCTTTAAATAGATCCCATCTTCTCTTGCTCTCCAATCCCATAAGCCTCCATGATCCTCTATAGTGAAAAGCTTGAATGCCGTAAAGTTTTTATAGTGTCTGTAGTTAGGAGTTAGGACCTTGTCTCAAAATACACATAAAACGAGTGGTACCCCGTAAGTTAGTGCCAAAATAATCTAAAAAAATGCCCTCTGATTGGTATTATATTTGGACCTAATACATCATCTTTGGAATAACACCTCATCCAGAGAAGTTTCTTGAATTTGAGCTCGTTTGCGATCCTGATTCCGGCCTTCTATACATTGCCAAACATGCAAAGGCTAAACACATATATATACACATATGTGGTAGATGTTTTTCATTTTTATGATATTTCATCATCATCTTTAGCCTGAATCTGCCACGGATCTAGGCAACACATTGTAAAACTACATTATTATTCAGTTCCTTATTTCTGGAATTTCTATAATCTCCTTAGAAATCTATAGTCTGCTCTAACAATATTAAGTTTGGAATTGATCTTAGCCAATCTCACAAGGATTTAGGTATTTTGCATAGTTCAATCGATAATAAGGAGATTTGCAGACAAAATTATGAACATGGTAAACAAATTGCTTTGGATCAAATATTCAAAACGTACAAAGCTTGATCTTGAAGATTGTAAACGATCGTTACCATGGAAAATTTGTTGGTGATGATGATGACAGTGACGAGAGTGTGAGAGTTTGAAAATCGGAAGACAAACTAAATTAGGTCAACTTGTATGTCAAAAATAGGTAAAATAGTTACTAATTCCCACATTGTAGTTATCAAAGATACAATCTAATATAAAAGGTACAACTGATTATGTATGGTTGTTGTCGTCAATTGGTGGGGAGATATAAGCTGGTGGTTCTTCTTGTTGTGATGGGTCTGGTACAGTGCCGGCCCGGTAAATTTGGGTGCCTTAAGCAAAATTAAAGCTATAAAAAAAAAATCTTTTAAATTAGATTTTTACCATTAAAAAGAATGTTGTAGTTGTCTCTAAAAGCCAACAATATTTTTAAAAAGCCCTACAAAAATATTGTATATAAGAAAATTTAACAAATTTTTAGGTAAAAAGGCCCTCAAATTTTGAGGCCCTAATCGGTGGCTTCAGTGGCTTGCCCTCTGCGCCGGCCCTGGTCTGGTGAGATCAAATGATTAAAGATACATTCCATAGATAGAAGCATTAGTCCAAGTCTCACTACCAATTGACAATTTTTTTTATTTTCGTTACTTATTAGTTGATAAATGAATACTTGAGATCAAGCTACTTTTTTTTTTCTTTTTGTCAATATATTGTATTTTTTTTTTAACTTTTCAATCATAATATAACTTGAGAAGATTTTTTTATCCATATATAAATTTTCCTGTTTTTAAATCATAATATATATATTTTATTCTTAGATAGAATGTTAACATTTTTAATTTATCCAATCAAACACTTTATGCATATAAACCGGGTTTAAAACTTGCTCGCTAGCTACTTTCTTTAAATAGATACCATTTTCTCTTGCTCTCCAATCCCATAAGCCTCCTTGATCAGCCATACTAAAAAGCTTGAATACTGTAAAGTTCTGATAGTGTTTATAATTAGGACCTTGTCTCAAAGTACACATAAAACGCGTTGTATGCCAAAAGTTAATATCGAAAAGATTTTCATAATGTTGTCCGATTGGTATTATGTCTGGACCTAATACGTCGTCTTTGGAATAACACCTCATCCAGAGACGTTTCTTGAATTTGAGTTCGTTCGAGATCCTGAATCCACCGCCGGATACATGGTCTAGCATGCAAATGCTAAAAACAAATAGAAAGACTAATATTTTTTTTCATTTTTTTCTTACGTTTTGGTAGATGTTTAGATCTTTGGTTGTGTTAACTTTTTTTTTTGTTTTGTTTCTGGTATTATATATATACACACATCTGTATTAATATTGTTGACATAAGATTTCCTTCAATATCAGTTCTAAGTTTTAACATATATGATATATGTGAAATGCATAATATGCAAGATATTATACTATTGGAATCCAAATTTGTTATAAAAATCATATTAGGTAAACATAAATCTATTAAAATTGAATTTTAAAGAAAAAGGATAAAATCAAGTAGCAATTACTGTATGTAAGATCAACTATAAGCCTCGAGAAAAAAACAAAATTTTAAGTTTTTTTCACAAACTACACTTGTTTATATTATTTTATTTTTATTATAGAAAGTCCGAAACTCAAATAGATTTATCTAAATAAATTTATTCTCTAAATTATAATAGTATTATGCTTCAATGTCTTTTACTTTTTGCCATGGGACCATTGTATAGATCTATAATCTTTCGATTGTAACCTAGACCGTTTTCATTTTTAATGAAATATTTACATTCTTAGCAAACCAAATTTATAATATAGTTAAAAATTTTAATTTTAAGACTACGATTTATTTAATTTTAAATTTTGATTCAAATGATATAAATAATCAAACTTATGCTAACTTGATAGGCAAGGGAAACGCCGAGTCCTAGAATCACTAATCAAAGGCTAAAAAGCAGAAATAGAGAAACAACTTCGTTTCAAGAAAGGTTGCAAAGAGATGTTCTTTCGAGATTGCTTGTATCTGAAGAGAGAGAAGCGATTGGAGAGAGAGAACGAGGAGAAGCACGAGTATGAGGTTGGAACAAGATAGGGATGCTGCATTAACGTTGCGGTTGCAGCGACAGGAGTTAGCGTCAACATTTGGCATAACGACGGCTGAAACTTCTTCTCGGTCTCTAGCAAGAGCTAACCCCTGCTAGCTTGGTGCAATGAGCTGTTCGCAGGCAAGGATGATATGAAATCATCATCTTGAATGACATTCATCATCATCTTTAGCAAAAATCGTTGGTTTAACACATTGTAAAACTACATTATTATTCAGTACCTTATTCCTGAAATTTCTATAATCTTTTTAGAAATCCATAGTTTGCTTTAACAATATTACATGTTTGGAATTCAATTGTATATATTTTTTAAACCGCTTCGAGTAATTTTATTTTCTTAGAAATATACCCTAATTTTTTTCTTCTTCTCTCTATATCATTTCTTAAATGGACCATTGCCTCATTAAACGACTTGATGCCTACCAATTATTTTTAGGGGAAGAACCAGCTTGTTAAAAAAAGCTAGTCCAATCCGTGTGCAAGTTTGATCCAAGTGAGAGTTGAACGTTGTTAATGCTGAAGATGCAGTTATTTTGGTGTTCTGTACTAGTCGTCGAAGTAGTACAGAAAGTAATGCAAGAAGTGATTCAGGAAGAAGAGATGCATAACTGCTGATGGGGAGCTCGAGTACTTGGGTGTTGGAACCTTTGTCAAGGCATGAAAAGGAATATTATCTTTGGTTGAAGATAAAAGGAATTGAATAAGTAAAGAGGAAGTCTGCTTGAAGAGAAAAGGAAATTGGCAAAAAGGAAAATCTTTTCCTTATGGGATCACGAAACTTTCTCTTATGTGTGATTGGAAGAACTTGAGGCACAAGTTTCTGTTTGTTATATAAGGAGGACGTGACCTTATGAGAAAGGGGATTGGCAAGAGTAAAAATCCCAAAGAGATTCGATGTGAGAGATTGTGTGTGTGATCGTGTGCGACGTAGTTTCGCGGGTTAAGTACTTATGTGATCAAGCTTATTTGTGTGTTGGTATTGACGGTTCATATTGGAGAATCTTGGTGATCGTTGGGTTGGTTGGCGTGACGGTTCGTGTGTGGTGGTTGTTCCAGAGACTTGGAGAATTGAAGTCTAGACTCAGGGGGAGTTTAGCTCAGGGTTAGGTTATCCTGATTAAATCTAGGCTCAGGAGAGTTTAGTTAAGGGTAGAGATTTATCCTTAAGATTTCACGTTATAGAAGGGAGCGGTAAATCAAGAGGGTTGTGCTTGTTTTACGTGTTTGCGAATTGGTTGTAATTTGCTTTCTTGTTCTAGTGAAATCGAAATCTGGACTTGGTCCCGGAGAGTAGGAAAAACCGAACCTCGTTAACAAATTTTTTGTCTCGTTTACTTTCTGCAATTTATATCACCTCATCCGCACTTACAAATGCAAGTCGGAAAATATCACTGGGAACCGCGATGACCCCAAACAGAGGCATTTCTTATCTGAATTGAAAGATATTACCCGGCCTAATTAAAGATATGTACGTATGTTTAGTTTCTCTGCGTATTTCTTAAAAATTTGCTTATAAGGTTCTCTTGTGAATCAAAGTTTTTGCTTCTTTTTGTTGTTGTTAACACCTATATTTCGAAATCCCACCCATATTTCAAACTTAAATTTATCTAATACATTTTGTTAAACATCTTAATTTCTTCTTTAACTAAATATGGGATAATGCATGTAAAAACAAATTGTATGTAAATCTGCAGAACAGTGCCCGTATGTGGTAGTAGTACCACAGTGGTACGATCTTTAACGCTAGTAGTACAAAATAATTTGGCTCCACGTCCTTCTTTTCCTAAAGCATTCTTTTAATTAGTTCTTAAAACAAAACTAATTGACTTATTTAAAATATGTTTTGACAAACATAACATCGCTGGCATATATGTACATTAAATGTCGTCATAACGGCAACATAATGGCAAGACAAATTTCATAATACATAAATCTCGGCAACGAGAGTTTTGGGTCGTTTGTGCTACGATCATCTCATATGTCATAATGTTATAAAATATTGAATTGCAATTATGAGCACATTCTCCCGCCAATAAAATTACATACAGTACACAGAAAAAACATGTTCGAGATTTCCACATGTTTCAGTCGTGAAAAAAGGACAATAGATAAATTGTTAAATCCTCTATATAAACCTACTTTTAACAATCCCATTCTCATAACAAAAACACATCCGAATCTGATCTTACACTCATCGAACTCAATCGAAAGTTCGAAACGCAACGTTTTCAAAGAGACGTCCAACTAAAATGATGAAGAAGATCTTTGTTCAAATCAGTGTAGCTTGTCTAGTGTTGGCGTTGATGATTGCGATGGTCTCGGCTCAGGGACACGATGATCACGAGGGTCACGCTGATCACGATGGTCACGACCATGCACCGGCTAAATCACCAAACGCCGCTGTCATTGTTGCTGCTGATATGTTCACCGGCTTGGCCGCAGTCACCGTGGCTCTTGTGGCTGGCTACATCTACTGATGAGTTCATCATATATAAGTATTTTGTGAATTGTGATTCTTTTTCTTTTCATCTTCTTTGATATATTGTTGCCAAAGTCGTTTCTCTCTTAAGTTTTTCAATTTTTCTTTTGTGTGTTCATCAGAATGCTATGTAAACAAATTTCGTGTGATGTGTTTGTTTATGTTCGTACTAAAACCAAAATAATAATGTTGGAACGTTAATTATAAAAACCTCTTTATTACCCAATCAATCAATGTACAAGAACGTACATTTTAACTAGGGCTTACTATAGAGATCCTAAACTCTCCTATCTAGCCAAAAACTCTCACTCACAAAATGGTCTAAGACCCGTTTTTAAATCTCTCTTCTCTTCTACTATACCCCTCCCTATACAATATGTTATCTCCTCTAACTACTATTCTTCCTATCCAAGTATAGCTACTGGCCCATCATAATTAAGCTTTTAGCATCTTCTCTTCTTGCCAATTGATGACCTTTGACCCACAATTTGGCAAGTTCAGTCATCATGACACCTAAACGTACGGTTTGGCATACCTCGGTCATCTTGGCCCTCGAAACCTTGTGTTGGCATACCTCGATCATCACAATCTTTAAAACATGGTTCAATATACCTCGGTCATCATGACCTCCAAACCCACACTTAACACATTACAATTATCATGACCATCGATCTGTACCCACACTCATCACGTTCACTAACCTAGCTTAGCTATGATCAAGCAGTGCATTGCTAACAACTTTATTCAGCACTTACAATCTATTACTTAAAACCAATTTTCGTGGTTTAATCCTTCATTTATTAGTATTATATTCAAGACATTCCATAAATGATCAATTCATAATAATACAAAATCAACAGAATGACTTCAACTTCTCGGCTTGTTGTCAAAATAAAATCGGTACAATCTATTATTATTGCAATGGATGTGACAAACATTACCATAAAGAGTGTGTTGAGTCTCACCCTGTCTTTATATCCCCTTATCACCCCAAATATACTCTCCAGCTTCTCCAATATTTTGGTAAAAGGGAATGCCATTCTTGTGGCAAGAAAACTAACTATTTAGTTTACTATTCTTCTATTTGTGATCTTATTTTACATACTGTTTGTGCAAATAAACGGGAATTCCCCACTATAAATAATAAAAAAACACATCAGCATACACTCCACTATTTCCCTAGAAAAGCCTCACTTACATGCGATGTTTGTGGAATGGATGATAACAAAATTTGCTTCTATATATGTCATCAATGCAATTTTGTTGTCCATATAACTTGTGTCGGCTTACCACGCGTCATACAAATATCTCGTCACATTCACCGTCTCTTTTTTACTTCTTCTATTTCTCTTAGAATATGGTCATGCGGAGTTTGTCGTCAAAAGATTGATGGTAACTATGGGGAATACTCTTGCTTAAAAGGTTGTTCTTATGCAGTGCATTCTAAATGTGCGACGAAACATGATGTATGGGATGGGAAGGAATTGGAAAACCAACCCGAAAATGTATACGATAGTTTAAAATCGTATGTGGAGATAGGTGATGGGATTATAAGACATTTTAGTCATACACATCATAGCATGATTTTTGATGAAGATATCGGCAAAGCATATTTTGAAAAAAAGCATTGTGAGGCGTGCTCACTTCCTCTTGATGATGGTAGTATCTATAAATGTACGCAATGTGATTTTGTTCTCCATGAAA